TCCTTATCATGTAAAGTATGTCATTGTGGAATAATTTTTTTTACATCCACAGTGACAAGCCAAGTACAAGGAGCTGGGAGTTTTATGTGATGGTGGACATTTGTGGCAGGTGACACTTCATATGAAACAATGAGCTTGTTCATTACAAATAAGCAAAGCCTTCAATAGAAACAGATTCTCATCACGCTTTACTCTTGTCTTACGGAGGAACTGTAATGAAAGAAGGTCATTATCTCCCTGTGTATCAATACATTAATGCGATACTAAAGGTTCGATTTTTTTTTTGGGGGGGGGGGGGGGATAACAAACATATCTATACTTACCTGCTCCATGCAGTGGTTTTGCACAGAGCAGCCCAGATCCTCCTCTTCTCAGGTCCCCTGCCAGAGCCCGTCTCCTCCTTTCTGTACGGTGCCCCCATAGCAAGCAGTTTGCTATGGGGCACCCGAGCAGGCATGTTCTTAAGCCGCTGCTCCATTCACACACGGAGCCACGGCTTAGCTCCACCCCCTCTATCTCCTCATTAGATGACTGGCTGTGATTGACAGCAGAGGAAGTCAATGGCTCCCACTTGCTGTCTCAGCCAATGAGAAGGCAGAGACCTGGGACAGCCGAGGCTGTTGTCCACATCGATGGAGCTCAGGTAAGTATTAAGGGGCCTGGGAGCACTGCTGCACACAGAACATTTTTTACCTTCATGCATAGAATGCATGAAGGTAAAAAACTCTGAGCCTTTACAACCACTTTAATAAAACTATGTACATTGTCCTGGATCACTTGCTGGTGGCCTTGTGATTTCTAAAGCGGAAGGTTGTAGTTCCAGTGTCCACCAGAGGGTGTCAGCCAGCAGATCCCAGAAATCAGTTTCTACCTGATGCTGGCTGCTGTGAAGATATTTAGGTCCTCTCCTATTAGTGCCTCTCGCTCTAGTGGTTTGATTGCTGCCAGATACTGCTAGCCATTATCCTGTTCTTGCCCAGTATGCTGTACCCTGTATCCTGCTGCCTTGTACTTGTGCTTCCTTGTTCCTGACTCCAGTTTTGGTTCCCCTTTCCCATCTTCTCCCTGCACCTCCAGTTTTCCTTGCTTGTCTGTGTTCCCCATTTTGCATATATTGTCTATAGTGAATTGTTAGTTAGTCTTTCTGCTTATTAGCTATCAGTCAGGTATTCTGTCACTGGGTTTTTGGTTCTCTTATATTTTTAAGTTTGCTTTGCGGTGGTATTTGGATGGAATTTGTTTAACTGTAAATAAATCTCACTTAAAGTTGTTCTAAAGTCTCAAGGTTTTTTACCTTAATGTATTCCCCCCAATTCTTACCTGAGCTCCTTCCGATCCAGTGATGTTCACGACAACCTCTGCTGTCTGGGGACTTTTCCTGCTCATTGGCTGATACAGCAGTGGTAGCCCGTTGGCTCCTACTTCTGTCAACCACAGCCAGTGAGCCAAAAAGAGAGGGGGGGGGGGGGGCGAGCCATGGCTCTATGTGTCTTATGGACACATAGAGCAGCAGCTCGAGGCTCGGGAACGAGCACGCAGCGGTGCACCAGGGTGAGCAGTTTTTCCCTAGAGGGACTGCTTGAGGGGGAGAAGTCAGGAGCACTGGTGGGAACCTGAGCAAAATTACTGCACAAAGCAGGTAAGTATAAACATGTTTGTTATTTAAAAAAACAAAGCTTTAGTGTCACTTTAAAGCATACACAGTCCGATCCCAGATTCCTGAGTGTAGCCACGGAGATCTTACCATCACTGCTGCTATTTCTTGATATTCTTTCACAAGATAGAACTCATACTACATGCGCAAGCGCTTGAAATTAAAAACTTTGTATACATTAAGTGATCAGTATTTTAATTGTAAAAAAACATATTTTACTGTGTAGTTTGCCATTACATATCCAGGCTATGCTACCTGCTGTACAGTGCTAAACAATGACTATGCTTTACTGCTTCTTCTCATAATGCAACTGTGTTAGTTTGCAATAAGAACTAAATAAGTCCTCTCTAAAAAATACTAAGGGATGGACTATCCCAATATCTAGTACATGCTTCTTAAAATCCTGACATCTATTTCCAATGGGAGTTATTCGTACACATATACACAAACACGTGATGAGTTTCTAAAATTCTTTAAAGATCATCTATGAAACTGAATTGTCTGGGAATGATTTACATTTGTATGTTACATGGTGACAGAATGTGAAATAAACCTCACAAGAACCTAGAGGTGTGCTCCAAAACAATCATCAGTGCACTAAAGCTCAGGTCACTTACAGTTGCAAGAAAAAGTATGTGAACCCCTTGGGATTACGTGGAGTTTTGCATGAATTGGGCATAAAATGTGCTCTGAAAGTCATCAAAGTCACAACAATAGAAAAAACACAGTCTGCTGAACATAATACTACACAAACATTAGATGTTGCCATGGTTTAATTGCACATAACATGTAAACATTCACAGTGCAGGGAGGAAAAAGTATGTGAGGCCCTAGCTTAATGACTTCTCCCAGAGCTAATTGGAGCCAGGAGTGAGCCAACCTTGACTCCAATCACTGTGATGATATTGGATTTGTTGCTGACAGCTGTCCTGCCCTTAAAAAACACACACCTGTTTTGGGTTTACTGGTTTCAAGAAGCACTGTCTGATGTGAACCATGCCTCGCAGAAAAGAGCTCTCAGAAGATCTACCATTAAGAATTGTTGACTTGCATGAAGCTGGAAAGGGTTACAAAAGTATCTCGAAAAGCCTTGATGTTCATGTGTCCACGGTAAGACAGACTGTCTACAAATGGAGAAAGTTTAGCACTGTTGCTACTCTCCCTAGGCGCGGTCGTCCTGTAAAAATGACTGCAAGAGCACAGCGCAGAATGCTGCATGAGGTAAAGAAGAATCCCAGAGTGTCAACTAAAGACCTACAGAAATCTCTGGCACATGCTAACATTTTTGTTGACACATCTACAATAAGGAAAACATTAAACAAGAATGGAGTACATGGGAGGACACCACGAAGGAAGCCATTGCTGTCCAAAAAGAAGATTGCAGCACGTTTGAAGTTTGCAAAAGAGCACCTGGATGTTCCACAGCACTACTGGCAAAATATACTGTGGACAGATGAAACCAAGATTGAGTTGTTTGTGAAGAACACACAACACTATGTGTGGAGAAAAAAGGCCCAGCACACCAACATCAAAACCTCATCCCCACTGTGAAACATGGCGGAGGGAGCATCATGGTTTGGGGCTGCTTTGCTGCCTCAGGGCCTGGACGGATTGTTGTCATTGATGGGAAAATGAATTCCAGAGTTTATCAAGACATTTTGCAGGAAAACGTACGACCATCTGTCCGCCAACTGAAGCTCCGCAGAGGATGGGTGATGCCACAGGACAATGACCCAAAGCATACAAGTAATTCAACAAAACAATGGCTGCAACAGCACAGAATACACCTTCTGGAGTGGCCCAGTCAGAGTCCTGACCTCAACCCGATTGAAATGCTGTGGCATGACCTTAAGAGAGCAATTCACACCAGACATCCCAAGAATATTGCTACACTGAAACAGTTTTGTGAAGAGGAGTGGTCCAAAATGACTCCAGATCGTTGTGCAGGTCTGATCTGCAACTACAGGAAACGTTTGGTTGAGGTTATTGCTCCCAAAGGAGGGTCAACCAGTTATTAAGTCCAAAGGTTCACATACTTTTTCCTCCCTGCACTGTGAATGTTTACATGTTATGTGCAATTAAACCATGGCAATATCTAATGTTTGTGTAGTATTATGTTCAGCAGACTGTGTTCTTCTATTGTTGTGACTTAGATGAAGTTCAGAGCACATTTTATGCCCAATTCATGCAAAACTCCACGTAATCCCAAGGGGTTCACATACTTTTTCTTGCAACTGTATCTATGGCCAATCACTATAAATAGTGGCCTTGTCTGAAGAAGGAAATTTGGCCTTTCTTTCTCTGCACCTCTCTTACTGACCCTCACTGTAATGGCTGATCTCAATGACCGGTAGTGATGCATATGAGGTGAATAAGGACCAATCAGTGCTAAAGCTTCAGCAAGTGAAGTTTTATGCTAATTAGGATCCCCCTATTTGTAGATTGCCTAGGCACTTTTGAAGGCAATGAAGGGTTTGGTCAGGAACCTCTAAGGGCCTTCTTTAAAATCCTTTTACCAGTGTAGCACTTTTAGACTATGTACGCGTTTACTTTAAAGCGGAAGTTCAACTTTAAGGACTGGTCCCCCCCCTCCCTATTAAGGATTGGAAACTTTGGGGAGTGGGTACCTGAAATTGACAGGTAGGCGATAGGCTATCAGAATTGGAAGTTGTCTCTCCCTCCCCGTAGTCTTCTGGGACATGTGACAGGTTCCAGAAGACTACAGGACCATTCAGAAAGCCAAGCTGTGCTTGCACGTGCGCAATGGGCACCCGGCTCTGAAAGCGCAAGCTGTCACAGCCAGGTGCCCACACTGAAGATTCCGACGCCAGAAACACAGGACGGCCAGTGAAACAGGTTAGTGGCTGTTTTTTAAAAGTCAGCAGCTACAGTTTTTGTAGCTGCTGACTTTTATTTTTTTACAGTTTGACTGGAACTCCGCTTTAAGTTTTTTTAAAATAAAAGTCTGTTCTTTACTAATGATATACAAGCAAGGTTTCTGGTTACAGTCACTGAAGTTAGATGCTGAATATTAGTAAGTAGAATCATACATTACAAATACACAAGACCAAATGTTAGGGACTTCTAAGAAAAAAACATTTATAAAATTAATAAAACAGTGAAAAAATACTTAAAACCCGCTTTAAAAGATAATTATTTTTTCCTAGTATGCTTTATGTTTGATCTGTAATGGTTGAAGTAAAAAGGTTCAAATCTTATTAGTCATATTTTCTCCTACCATTCCGTTGAAACTGATTTGCCATATATAAAATGTAATGTCATCTGAAAGGATAAGTAAGGTGCTGGTGTTATGCTAGGAAACAGGGCGAATAGATTTTGAAAGCATTCACATGGTCTTTACCACTCTTTCTGGAAATGGCAATATAAGAGGTTGAGGATTAGTTCCTCTCTCTTGCCAACACACATCTAGAACAGGGTACAACTTTCCCTGGAACTCTGCCTGGAATGTATATAGAGGAATGAGCTCATTAGGGCTGTCTGCATTATAGAAGGTCAGCTCTCCTTTCTCATAATTCAGGAAGATACCAATGCGTTGTGGGCGGGAGCTGATGGGCAGAGTAACATTGGGAGATGTAAAGGCTTCATACAAACGTCCTTCTTTCAGCCCTATGAGCCAAGCTCCTGCTTCCGGAGCTCTAACCAATTTGCCTTTGCGACTTACAGTGCCCTTCACCACACCAATTCTCCACTTTGGTTTGGTGCCAACAATCACTTCCCAGTAGTGCTTGCCAGTAGAAAAACCACGTGTTGCCAGCACACAGCTGCTGTTTTCAAAGCCCTCAGGATTGCTGCCACGTCGGCTTGCTAGTGATCGGCACTGAACAACAGTATCCCCTTTTGCCAACTCCAGGAAAGGATGTGCAGTGAGAGGGTCGAGTTTCAAAATCTCTGGAGCTGAACAAGTAGATGGAAATGGGTACAGTGTTAAAATAAGAAACACAGAATGGAAGAAAATATACACTCTTTATATTTTTTATTCTGCTATGTTTTTCGCACAGTTGACTACAATGGTTTTGATGGTCAATTTTCTTTATTCTAAAAATTTTTGGCCAAAAGTTTTCTCATGCAAATTTTGTGCAAAATTATCTTGTAACTCACATTTTCAAATAAATGGAAGACTATTTTTTATATACTATAAATGGCTACCTCAATATTTACATTGTTGAGGCATTGGAAAGTGCTTCTTTGTGTGTAAAAATGGGGCTCTGTAAAAAAAAAAAAAAAAAAAAAAAAAAAAAAAATTCCAGGCATACAAATGTCTGAAACAATAAAACAGGATGGAAACTGTGATACCACCTCCTCACACGTGTTTGGAGCCTGAAATTGTGGGTGATCTCTTGAATGGGGATACTTTGTGAATACAAAGCTACTCATATAATTTCCTGCAATGGCACCTCCTTTTGCAATATTCTCTTGAATTGGAATCTTTTCCTGCAGGAAGGTCATTATGGTCTGCACAGCCTATGGTGTTTGCTTGTGGCGCTCGCAGGGTTCTATCAGGAAGACATATTCTGTCTCGGTCTCCTGTTCGTACTAATAAACCTTAATGTCAGGGATGTTGCTATGGATTTCTTCCTGCAAGACAGCAGCACTGCCTGAGAAGTGTTTTTAGCTGGACAAGGCTTGAGGGACACAGGTAAGCCTGGTAAGCTCAGGTATGTGCTTCTAGATATCATAAGGTATTTCACCAGGTACCAAATTATACTTTTCCTACTAATGAAATACTACTTTTCAAAAATTGTTCCAACACTTAAAGTGTTTCTAAACCCAGGACCCTGTATTCACTATATCTGGTCTCCCACAGTACACACAAATGGAAATGCAATTTTTTAGTAAATATAAACTGCTAAATACCTTTTCTCATCCACAGTTAGAGCAGTTTTGTGACTTCTATCAGTGTTCAGCAGAGCACTGGTTAAAGCTTGTGGGAGTTTTCTTTCTGCTCTAGGAGGATGCAAAACCCCTGACCTCTGTCTGGACAGTGTTGATTGGCCCTGTGCTGATCATATGCACTTTTCCAAGAAAACAAAAACCTCTCTAGCAATACACACTGAACTGAGCATGTGCAGAATGGTTAGGGATTCAGTCTGCCTTATCAGGAGATCATACATGGACATTTGAAAAAGAGGAGGGGCAGAGAAGTTGAAATGGCCTTTTTACACAATGCAGAGGATTAACCCATTAGGTTCCACAGTGAGTATAGCAAGCATGCTTTATTGCATATACAGACTGAGTTTACTGTTGTGGGTTTAGTAACATTTTAACATGCATAAAGTGCTTTGTAAAACATATGTGCACATTTATTGAATGCTAAGCACAATAGAAAACAATCCATTGCATTTCTTTCACTCCTATAACACATGGCTTAAAGTGGGTCTAAAGTCTCAAGGTTTTTTAACTTCATGCATTCTATGCATGAAGGTAAAAGAAACCTGTGTGTAGCAGCCCCCCTCCGCCAGCACTTACCTGAGTCCCCTCTTGATCCAGTGATGGGCACAACAGCCTTGGTTCTATAAGGACTCTCACTCTTGATTGGCTCCCACTGCTGTCAATCACAGCCAGTAAGCCAATCAAGAGAGGGGGCAGGGCCAAGCCGCAACTCTGTGTGTGAATGGACATGCAGAGCTGCGGCTTGGGAGCGCGCCTACTCAGGTGCCCCCATAGTAAGCCGTTTGCTAGGGGGGCACCTGCCAGGAGTGAGGGGCCAGGAGTGCTGGCAGGGGACCCAAGAGGAGGAGGATCCAGGCTGCTCTGTGCAAAACCACTTCACAGAACAAGTAAGTATGACATGATTGTTATTTTTAGGGCTCGTTCACACCATACGCGCATGAAAACTAAAGGAAACTGACACACAGATTTCACTTGCAGAGACATCAGTTTTATTTGTGCTTCAATGAGTTCTATATACATTGCCAATTCCTGTGCAGAAAAAAATCTTCACGTGATACTAGTGTTGTGGCGTGAACAGGGCACATCGAGAACAATTGATTTTGTTGTGCCCTTGTAGAACACGTGCAGAAAAACTGACGTCTCTGCAACATGGTGTGAAAGTGCACTTTAGGGGGAAAAAAAAAAGATTTTAGTATCACTTTAACAAACTAGATTAGGCCCCAAGATATCTGAGAATGTGCTACTATGAAATCCTTCTTGTCTAAACACATGCAACTTGGCACTAACATGATCAAAGTTTATGTTATATTCAGCAGGAGTCACTAATGGAGTCCACCATTGTAGTAATTTAAAGTTTAAATCCAGCCAAACATGTTTTTTAGTTTCAGAAATAGCGGAGAAGGTTAAAAACGTCTGACATTTCCACTCAAAATCACATTAATTATAGTTGTACCAGACAAAAAGTCAAAGGAAGTATGCTAGAGACACAAACAGCCAAAAGAACACTGACCTCGCTTCTGTCCTTCCCCTATTTAAGACTGTGTTACTGTTGGACATTTTCCTACACCTCCTGTCTGTTAAACCATTTTTATTATGAACCCCAATTAGCATTCAAAACATAACCGATATTCCAGCCCACTCTAAAAACAAAAAATACTTTGAGATATGAAGCTGGCAAGAACTGATATGAAAAAAAATTACTTTTGTTTTCATTATGGATATGTGCACTAAATAAAAAGTACTGATTGGTGTTTCCATCAAAAACCAGTCATGCAAAATTTACAGAAAATGAAATCCTTACGAGGAAGAATTCTGCGTTGCAGACGTTTCCATACTGTCAGTTTGATGTCATCCTGACGGAAACCAGGCTTGAAAGAAACAGGGCTATAGGTTGTGTCCACACTGCGTGGGCTTGGTGGTTGACAGCTGTGGAAGTAAATAAGTATTTATTTCCATAATTTAATTTCCATACCTCCTATCCACCTAAATGTGAATTGTGTCTCATACCTGGATGTCACAGCAGAATAGTCCTAGAAATAGAGATACAGAGAGAGCTGGTTAGGGTGAGCTTAGATTAGCTATGTTCACAGGGTATTTTTCATATAAAATAAATTTGGATCTACTTTACTGTGGCATGGTAGTGCAATCGTGCTCTGGGAAGAGATACTCTTCCAAAACGCTATTACAGAGTGCACACTTAAATTAATGCTATTTCTCACAAATATTCACACTTTTTTGTTGACCTCACTTGGAAAAATGTGTGAATCCTGTATGAAAGTTGTGTGACACTTGGGTGAAAACATTTATAAATAGACTCCTTAATGAACCTAATGTGAACAATATATGTAACAGTAGGTTCATGTAGCTGTTTTAATTTTAACATAAATTTAAAGGATATGTTCACCTTAAAAAAAAAAAAGACAACTGCATTTTTAGCAGATCGCTGGTGTCATGCAGGGCTCCTGCAAACTTGTCAGTGTATCTGTGCGCTCGTACCTCATACAGGCAAGCAGATACACTGTGACAGGAAGAATCAATGAACTACCACAGCACTCAACAGCTGAGAAGTACAAGCTGACAGCCACAAAGGCGGTTGGGACTTGTAGTTCATTCATTCACAGAACTCTGTGAATTAATGATATAGTTGTGTGGGCGGAGCTCCGCACAGTTAAGCTGTTTTCAAAATTGACAGCTCGGGTTACAAGCTTACATTCCAATTTCCAAATCCCCAGATGTTGTGGCTACATTAATTTTTATTTTGTTCTGGATTTTTTTTGCTTTATTTTCCACCTGGTGCCTTTTTGACTCCTAGGGTGACAGCACTTACCCACAGTACTGTATTCATGGAGGAGCAGTGTTGCCATCCTAGATCATGAAGTGTATTAGAGCTACAGAACATTCCTCCCCCACTATTCCTCAAGTTATGGACATGAGGTGGACAGAGCTAATAAAACTGCTTGAGATAACGCTGCAGAGTGCAAAACACAATACTGGATTTCCAGCAGGATCAACAGGTATTTTTTGCACTTACCAAAATGATTTAACACAATCCTTTTAGTGGTCTATTTAACTGACCAAAAAGTTCAAATGAGAAAAAGTCATTGTTATGGTTTTATATACACATTATATTTAAAACAGTTGAATGTGATTTATATTGAAATACCTATTGTGGACCAAGTTTGGTGGAAAGTCTCACCTGAATGAAGTGCAGGTGATTCTTATTTCCCAGGATCTCCAGCTGTCTTTCTTTCTCCAGTACAGAGCACAGGATTTCATTTTTTTGCTTTAATTGAATCTCAATGTTGCTGATCAGCTCTGTAGCTTTCCTGGAAACTAACTTAAGAAAGTGATCTTCTTCCTCTGCAATGTATCTCTGCAGCACCTGGAACTCCTTGCAGATTAGGCGCTGAAAGACATCTGATTCATTCTGTAGGAAGAAAGCAAAATTTAACATAACAAAACACAATAATAATATACAATAAAAATCTTAGCATGTGCATGTATATATGTATATAAAAACACTGTATTGTCGAAAGGATCGGGACGTCAGCATTTACACACACATGAACTTTAAAGTGTTACTAAATCCACAACAGTAAAATCAGTCTGTATATGCAGTAAAGCATGCTTGTTATACTCACTGTGGAACCTAAAGGGTTAATCCTCTGCAATGTGTAAAAAGGCCATTTGATCCTATCTTCTCTGCGCCTCCTCTTGTTCAAATGTCCACATATTATCTCCTGATAAGACAGACTCAATCCATAACCATTCTGCACATGCTCAGCTTAGTGTGTAATGCTAGAGAGGGTTTTTTTTTTTTTTCATGGGAAAGTGCATATGATCATCACAGGGTCAATCAGAACTGTCCAGACAGAGCTCAGCGGGTCTGCATCCTGCTAGAGCAGAAAGAAAACTCCTACAAGCTTTAACCAGTGCTCTGCTGAACACTGATAGAAGTCACAAAAATGATCTAGCTGTGGATGAGAAAAGGTATTTAGCAGTTTATATTTACTAAAATAATTGCACTTCCATGTTGTGTGTACTGTGGGAGACCAGATATAGTAAATGCAGGGTCCTGGGTTTAGTAACACTTTAATGGCATCCCAGTCTTAGTCCGTAGGGTTCAATATTGAGTTGGCCCACCCTTTGCAGCTATAACAGCTTCAACTCTTCTGGGAAGGCTGTCCACAAGGTTTAGGAGTGTGTCTATGGGAATGTTTGACCATTCTTCCAGAAGCAAATTTGTGAGATCAGACACTGATGTCAAATGAGAAGGTCTGGCTCGCAGTCTCCGCTCTAATTCATCCCAAAGGTGTTCTATCAGGTTGAGGTCAGGACTCTGTGCAGGCCAGTCAAGTTCCTCCACCCCAAACTCGCTCATCCATGTCTTTATGGACCTTGCTTTGTGCACTGGTGCACAGTCATGTTGGAACAGGAAGGGGCCATCCCCAAACTATTCCCACAAAGTTGGGAGCATGATATTGTCCAATATGCCTTTGTATGCTGACGCCTTAAGAGTTCCCTTCGCTGGAACTAATGCAAGCCATAGACGGGTCGAAAACCAGCCTTTTTTTATTGAAAAAAAAGAAAAATCGGTCGTTCGATCGGCCGACATTACCACCAACGGTAAAAACATTCGGCCAATTTTCATCCCGTCTATGGCCGCCATTTAATTTCTTCTGTCCCTTGCAGAGAGCTCCCCTATTATATTTGACATGAAAAAGTATTGCAGTTGCAACAATGTATCCATTTGTATCCATTTCGGATACAGATGTCTTTATTAGGATACAAAAAGATACATTGTTGCAACCGCAATACTTTTTCATGTCAAATATAATAGCGGACTGGAATTCTTCTTCTTCTTTTTCTTCTTCTTCTTTTTCTTCTTTTTCATTTTCTTCTTCTTGCAGGTCACGGCTCATGCACAGATTTTTTATCGGTAAAACGATCGGCCGATTTGCCCATCATTGCCGGGAAAATCGTCTGATCGCCAAAATCGGACAATTTTTTTCCAACTTTACCGATAAAAAAAAATGTGCCAAAACCCTGAAAAACGGCTGACCAATTAACCCGACATAATGGCCTGCATAAGGAGCTAAGCCCAACCCCACATCATAATCCCCCCTACACCAAACTTTACACTTGGCACAATGCAATCAGGCAAGTACTGTTCTCCTGGCAATCGCCAAACCCAGACATGTTCATCAGATTTCCAGACAGAGAAGCGTGATTCGTCACTCCAGAGAACATGTCCCCAATTCTCTGGAGTCTAGAGGCTTTACACCACTGTATCCGACACTTTGCATTGCACTTGGTGATGTAAGGCTTGGATGCAACTGCTCGGCCATGCAAACTCATTCCATGAGGCTCTCTACGCACGGTTGTTGTGCTAATCTGAAGGCCACATGAAGTTTGGAGTTCTTTAGCTATTGACTCTGCAGACAGTTGGTGACTTCTGCGCACTGAGCGCTTCAGCATGCACTGATCTCTCTCTGTTATTTTATGTGGCCTACCACTTCAAGGCTGAGTTGCTGTTTTACCCAGTTGCTTGCTCTTGGTCAATATATCACAAACAGTTGACCGTGGAATATTTAGTAGCAAGGAAATTTCATGGATGGACTTATTGCACAGGTGGCAGCTTATCATGTTACCATGCTTGAATTCACTGAGCTCCTGAGAGCGACCCATTCTTTCACAAATGTTTGTAGAAGCATTCTGCATGCCTAGGTGCTTGATTTTATACACCTGTGGCCATGGAGGTGATTGGAACACCTGAATCCATGATCATGAATTTATGATCAGAAGGGTTCATGCTTATGAAAAGATAATCTTTGCAAAACAATAGCTGTTCATGAAACTTAGTGCCAAGGTTATTAAAGCTGCACTGGTCAATATGGGACAAACAACCACTAGTTAAATACATCTTGCTATTTTGGAACAGTAGTTTGTTTGGTTCATACATTTGCACAGGCAAATCATTAAAACCTTTATTTGTCATTGAAAAATTAGGGAAAGCTGGCCAGCCTTCATTATTTGAATGTCAACTGGATCTGATACAGTTTCAGAAAAACTAAAATTAATATAAACCTGATAAGGGTTTAGGAAAATGTGAGCTATAATATTTTGCCACAATTTATAATGTATAGAATTTAATCCAGGAGTTCCAGAAATATCATCCTGCACAGGACATGAGTCATTGAGATGCTTTTCCTTCTACTGTCTGCTTGATAGGTGTTAAACACCTTATGCAAGACCACTGTGCCAGGAAAGCCTTATCTCCAGTCCTCTGAAGGACAAGCCACAAGGACAACTGGCTCTTGGTTTCATTGTGACTGAACCCTAATCAGTGTGTGTGTGATTGTCACAGCATTACAAAGTACACAATGAGCTCACACTAATTTCAGAAAGATATTTTAGTAAACACCACATGCTTGTGAAATGGAAAGTTTTGAGGAAAACATTGTTCATTTAGAACTGCTGTTTATTTTTTTTAGAAATTATCATTTAAAATAGTGCATTTTTAATAGAGGTCTGTTCATCAGACCATGAAGAGGGACAACTGAGGAAGAAAGAGGTACAAAGGGATTTGGTTTCAAAAGGGGGATAGTCGGGAGATAATGCAGTCCTGCCAGCAACTGCCTACAGACATTTTCTAAAATTTTAATGGAAAATAAATTATGTCCCAAGGTTTCAGTGATTTGTACTCACAAAAATATCAAATTGTCCTTATTCCAAAAGACACTCTTATGTACCCTTGCAACATCGCTGAGACCAGGTAGCCAAAGTGCCAACTGCTGGTGTCTAATTTTTTGGAATGATTTTAACCAAGAAATAAATACTCCTCTTTTTAGTGCTCTGAAAAATTACTTTCTCTTGAGGGTTTTACTGACCCAATTGGTACATTAAGATGTCCATATCTGCATCTGTACTATAAATGGGTAATGTTAAATTTTTCTGTGTTTCAAAGATTTGTGGTCATTATGAATTATATAACAGCAGCGGCCAATTACACTATATATGTCCTGCAGTGTTAAATCATACGGCGCTTCCTCAGAGGCGTCCCTAGGATTGGTGTCACCCGGTGCGGTAACACTTGCTGACACCCCCCTCCGACGATCCCCGCAGAATGGATTGGATCTGTGGATTGAGCATAATGGATCGGACTCCGATCCATTATGCTCAATCTGCAGATCCGATCCATCCTGCGGGGATCGTCGGATTTCTCTACAACTTACCTTTTCTTGGAGTGGGTCCGGTGTAGCGGTAAAATGTGTCTCCCATGTAGATATGTCCCCCCTGAAGCAACTGCACATGTCCCGGTTTCAAGCACGATCAATCGGAAGCAACTGCACATGTCCCGGTTTCAAGCACGATCAAACCATGTACCTTTGGTGAAGTATCCCCTTCCATGCCAATTTGCTTCAGGGGGGACATATCTACATGGGAGACACATCTTGCCGCTACACCGGTGTCACCCCGTATAGGTTGCATGCCGACAATCCCCGCAGGATCGTCGGCATGCAACCTATACAAGGTGACACCGAACCCGCTCCAAGAAAAGGTAAGTTGTAAAGAAAGCCGACAATCCACAGATCCGGTCCATCCTGCGGGGATCGTCAGTTTGCTTTACAACTTACCTTTTTGTGGAGCAGGTCCGGTGTCACCCCGTGTGGTCGGTGTCACCCCGTGCGGACCGCACCCCCCCACACCTGCCTCAAGACGCCACTGCATCTCTTTCCTTTATACTTAATGTTTAAGATGCAAGTGTGCTTTACATGTAAAAAAAAACAAGCAAACATTTACATTTTATCATTTGAAGTATTTTATCATTATTTTCAGAAATGTGCACCAATAAAGTCTGAAAACATGGGAAAAATTATATTTATGGCAATGAACAGAAGAATTATAGCTCATTGTGCCCATAAAATAGTTACACCACAGGTTCGCAAAGATACTGTTTTGATGTTCTACAATTCAGAATGATATGTAAGACATTTTCAAGAACAACAACTACCATTATCAGGTCTTCCATCTTTAGTAAAGACATATTACATAGAGAGCTCAATTCACTTTTTTAAAGTTTTTGATTGTAATTTGTAGCTCTGATTGATCATCATTGCTGAAAATTATATTGTCTAACCACTTACTAACTAGTTACGTACCTGGTACATCACCAGTCTTCAAGTGGGTGCTTAGTGCCAACAGTCTAAATAAATATTCTTGTAATACCGCAGCATTCAGAGCGGCTAATTAGCTGCTCTATTGCTTTTACAAGAAGCAGGAAGGGTGTGTATTTTTCTTCCCAAAAAATTGTGTTTCAAGGCCTCTGTAAGACTTCTGCTTTAAAGAATATATAATGTTTCGGGGTTCTAATTAATTTTCTAACAAAAATAAAAGCTTGTGAACAAAAAGTGCCAGGAAAAGCCTGGTCCATAAATGGCTAGGCAATAATCAAACCTCTAGAGTTTTCATTTGACCAATGGTTTGTACACACTTACTGGCTTGTACACACTTACTGTGATACGGGTCTTGTTGTTGGTGAGTTTGCTTATCTGCTCTTCCAGAGCCCTCCTCTCTTTTTGCAGCTCAGTCATCAGTGTAGACACATCTTCCTACAAATACAGTAATGCAAAATATTAGGCAACAAATAGTGAGTGTCATTCAAAATGAATTACAAATAATGGAGCAATGCTACAACCAAATTGTTATACAAATGAAAGAATTAGGGCTCATGTACACCGCAGCTCCTAAATTGACGTTCTCTTCATCTCACGGATGTGATTTACTGTTGCCCTTGATTAATAATGAATTAATTGCTTCCCGAACAAGGAAAATTTTCCCAGTGAGCTTAATCAAAGTTGATAAGGGAACATTCCTTTTCTATGATACATTTTCTCTTCAATATGTTAATACTATCAGGCTCTTTAAAGAAAATGTACATTGTTTTTCTGTATATTGATTTATTAAATATTTGGGACTAAAACTAATCAGAATAATATGGAATATTAGAACTCTTGGATCATTATTTCAGCATGTTAGGATTTTTTTGTACTACCCAAAGATGCTGACCTACTGGGGATAATTTACTAAAGCTGGAGAGTCCAAAATCAGACTCCCTTCTGCATAGAAACGAATCAGCTTCTAACCTCAGCTTGTTCAATGAAGCTTTGGCAATGAAACCTGGAAGCTGATTGGTTTCTATGCAGAAGTGAGTCTGATTTTGGACTCTCCAGCTTTAGTAAATAAACCCCACTATGTCACTGAGCCATAGACAGTTTTATACCTGCGTTCTAGCTACCACAAGTTGATGAGGAGGAATAACAACTGAAGTCAAGCATTTTCATGCAGTCTTAGGTGGTTCAGTACTTGTTGCCAAATGCACATGCAGCACATAGGACATCTGATGCCAAGTTATGCCTACTCTTGAATCTTCCAAAATGAGAGAAACTAGACACAGATCTTCAGATAAAATAGTTTATTTATTTAGTTAAGGCATTGTATTTTATGCTGTTTCCATATTTTTTTCTTATTCCACAATCTTTTTTATTGGGGAAGAAGTAGGTAGGAATAACAAATTACCAAGGCAACAGAACAAGATAATATAAAAAGGAACCATAAAATCATATGATGTGATAGTGACAAGTTCCTCGGGGATGGGTTAGAAAGAACAAAACTTATATTATAAAAGAAGGTGTGCGGCATAGGGGGCCAGCAAATCAACAATGGAATATTATCCTAGTAACATGACTTAATAGGGAAGATATAGAACTAATTGAGACACATGTACTGTATGTAACCTGAGAAATTATGCCCATAAAAGCAATCAAGATTAGGACACACCTCAGTAACATGAAACTCAAAAGTGAGGACAATATTGCAGCTAATACTATTGGGAAGCGAAGTCACAATACGTTAATTGGAATGTCACCAATCGCTGGAGACCCAATCAAAGACATATCGCCAAGTTGACACAAAAGGGATGTTTCCACAATTTTAACTGAACAAACAAACTTTTACATTTGGGGATTAGTGTGTGGTTTATATAATCCTGGAAGACTTGTGAAAGAAAACCAAGGTGGAGGTGAACCAGTTTATCATGCCTTCTCTTGACCTGAACATTTGACACTGTTTTTGTATCTGACATCAAGGGTTTGACAAATAATTCTGTCCTTTTCCCTACAGCCATCAGAATCAAACTTTCATTGAAGGTTAGAAGGTGACTAGCACTGAGAAGTAACCCCCAGTTCTTAGTAAGGGTGCACTGATTTTGGAGGAATTATTAAATACATTGCACAACAAGGGACTAAATATGAATATGACTACTTTTATTGGGATACATAAAGGGGATCTATTTTGTTTTGTATACATATTTTGTCATATTTTTTCAGAACAAAATCTATATACTTTAAAGTGTTACTAAACCCAGGACCCTGCATTCACTGTATCTGATCTCCCACAGTACAGAGAACATAGAAATGCAACTATTTTAGTAAATATAAACTGCTAAATACCTTTTCTCATAAGCAGTTAGAACAGTCTTGTGATTCAGCAGAGCACTGGTTAAATCTTGTAGGAGGAGTTTTCTCTCTGCTCTTCTAGGATGCAGAGCCCCTGACCCTCTGTCTGAACAGCGCTGATTGGCCATGTGCTGATGACATGCACTCTCCCAAGAAACTAAAAACCTCTCTAGCAATACACACTAAACTGAGTATGTGCAGAAGGGCTACGGGTTATGTCTCTCTTATCAGCGTGGACATTTGAACAAGAGGAGGGGTGAGAAGTCAGGATCAGACAGCCTTTTTATACAATGCAGAGGATTAACCCATTAGTTCCACAGTGAGTATAACAAGCATGCTTTACTTCATATACAGACTGATTTTACTGTTGTGGGTTTAGTAACACTTTAAATAATTAAAAAAACTTAGATAAATATGAAACATTGCATGTACAGATATGCATGTGACTTGTTTACATATCTATTCCTAGCTATCATTTAAAAAAAAAACACATGCCATTAACAGAACTCAATAGCTCAAGTTCAAATTTGCAAACACCAGCTGAATGAGGAGTGACCCTACTTTCATCTTTTCCCTGCTTGCACTCTTTGTACAGGCCCTGTGGTGTCCCAATCAAAGTGAGTCTGAGGGTAAACAACTTCCACTATGCTGCCTCCATAGATAACATATATTAAACTATAACATCAACAACATGGGTAAACTCTGTATTAAAGCTTTATTTGTAAAATGAAAACTGTATATATATTTTTATATAACGTAAAAAAAAACAAAAACTATATAAGCTTAAAAAAAAAAACCTGCCCCACACCTTTATAGTTTCCTTTTAACGACAGGTTGAACTGTATCACTCCTTTTCTGGTAGATGCTAAATCTACACATTCTGATTGTTACAATATTGTTGTTTCTTCTAAGTGTGTATTTTATTTTTAGATTGCAGCGTTAATAATTATAGTTAATTAGCCATTACATAGCCACAGTACTTCTTTGTGCACAGCTATACCTATAGGCATGCAAATAAATTACACATTTATCTACATATCAATTATTGACTATAACATACTGAAAGCATTGACTAGATATATATGATAAGCCATAATTGATTTCCTATACAAAAAAACTGTGCGTAGATTTTAGGTAAATAGATTTATACTTTCATATGAAATATCCACATACATTTAAATCTAATAATTTTTTATATAGTAGGACTGTATATACATACCTTCATTCTACTATACACACTTGTTAGTGGCGTGAAGTGGTGGTGCTTGTGGTCGCCAATAGTCCCGCAAAGGCCACATATAACTTCTTGATCTTGCTCACAGTACAGGCTGAGGGGGTTATTGTGATTTGGGCATATCTCAGCTGCAGCTTGCTCCTCACTCAATAGCTTCAGGGTCTCAATAAGGCGCTTTAATGTAACATTGGGAGGTGAGGAACTGTAATCCACTTCCTGGCGACAAACGGGGCACAACAGAATGATGTGGGATTCCTTCATCAACCCCCATAAACAGTCTCTGCAGTAGGAATGTCCACACTGCAGCATGGCTGGGTCCTTAAATACCTCCAGGCATATTGGACAAGTTAACTGGTTTTCCAGTAGAGGAAGTCTTATATTGCAAGCCATCCCTCTCTGTGCAGATCTGCAGTATAGCCACCAGGTAGATATCACTTTATTTTGTTTTTCTAGAAAAAAAAAAGCACAGTGAAGTTTTCTTATCAACTCCGTGCCATTGTCTTACAAATGGGTTTGATAATGTTATAAACTCCTTTATCTCTAAAGTGATTGTACATGTTATCTGCATATAACCAAATAATCATATAATCAAATAGAATGTATTATACAAGAACATTATGTACAGTAAAGTTTTCAGCCACAGCATAGAATACTAGTGCACATTCATGTGCAAAGACATGAAATGATCAGCATACACAAACAAAATGTTTTCCTTTTTTAGGGCCCACCTAGTATCCTGGGAAGTCTGGTATATTTCGGAGGTATTGAAAGTAGCAGCAGGCTGATCTTGGCTACCAACTTCTACATCTACGCAAACTCGCTATGAGTTTCGGACAGACTGCAGCAGGTCAAATATGCACTGTATTCTTCTATTTCTTCAGACTCCAGGAATCATATACCAGCACCCATGTTGCCACACTTCTACACCTGTCAACATGACAGCTTGAATCCTGCAGCAGCAAGTGCAGTGCCAATACATGAACAGGGGTGAAGATGTCACTGATAGAGTCCTCAAGAAATATATTTGATTAATTTGAACCAGAATATAATTGAAATACAAGTTTTATTTGGACTGACCCTTTTAAAGCGAGCAAGACATTATTTTTGGAAGAATTTTGTTTTTGTATTAAAGCAGAGCTCCAGGCATGTCAAGCATGCCTACAGTGTCACCTAAGGTCTGGTCTCAGATAACATAGAGTAATACCAAACAACGCACTCTTGGTAGTTGGTAGACAAGCGTGTGAGGACAGGCAGTTAACAGGACAACAATTGTCAAACCTTACACGACCTCTGGTCACTGCCACCTAAAGTGACGTTTAAGTCTCAGATGAAGTAAAGATAAATAAGAGCAAAATAACAAATACAAATATTTCAGAAGAAAGGCTGTGCAGTTACAGCTATAGTACACCTAACAGTATAGCTTTTTTTTCATTTCAAGACTCCATATCATATTCTTGCTTCATCCCAGTCATTACTTTATTCTTTAACAGCTTCCTGTATGCTCTATAGTAGAAATACTGCTACAGGGCAGCACGGGTGCGCAAAATCATGTATATATATATATGTGATTTTGCATTTCCGGGTAGGGGGCGGGCGAGAGCCATTTGCAGGCTTGGCTGTCAATCACCAGGTCCCGGCCGGTGATTACTCGCCAGTTGCCGGTGATTGCCGAGCATCTCCGACAGGGGGAGAACTGTTTATAAATAAAACAGTTCTCTCCCCTGTCAGCTCATGCACACTGCTTTGCAAGGCTGTGCATAGCACAGTCATGCAAAGCAGTGTGCTTACAGTGAACACAGGACACGATGTAAAATGGCACACAGCACATAGTCAACTCTTTGATCTCCCCAAATGTTAACCCCTTCCTGCCCAGTGCCATTAGTACAGTGTCAGTGCCTTTTATTAGCACTGATCTCTGTATTGGGGTCACTGGGGATGTCTGTGACACCAAGTCAGTTCTCCCAGTGTCAGAATGCCTGTCGCAGTCCCGCTATAAGTCTCTGATCGCTGCCATTACTAATAAAAATTTTTTTAAAAATCCCAGGATCTATACCGCCATTTGTAGACACTATAACTTTCATGTAAAACAAATTAATTTACACGTATTAGGATTTTATTTAGCAAAGACATGTAGCAGAATACATTTTGGCCTAAATTTATGACGAAATTTGATTTTTACAATTTTTTTACTGGACATGTTTAACCATTAGCCGCCCGGCCAATGGCCGTTTGGCGGCTTCAGATGTGTCTCTTCACTCCGGGTGCACGCCATTTGGCGTGCTCCCGCACTTGCGCAGTTTGCGTTAATGCAGAGCGGCGCAGCAGTGCGATCTGTCACCGGCCATGCACCTCGGACACGGCCGATGACAGATCCGAGTACTGGCTCCCGTTGCTGGTACCATGTGACCTGCTGTGACCAATTACAGCAGGTCACATGACAGTTGTATACAATGGATGGCTTCATTCATGATGCCATCCATTGTATACTAGTGCCTAGCTGTGAATGGTCACAGCTAATCACATGCACATGTCATGTGATTAGCTGTGACCAAATCACAGCTAAGCACAAAAAAAAAAAAAAAGCTGAATGAATCGATTTCATTCAGGTAAATGCTTGCTTATAGCAAAGTAATTCTTTGCTATAAGCAAACTGTGTAAAAAAAAAAAAAAAAAAAATACTGATCACTTTCCCAAAGTAGTACAATGTTACTATGAAAAAAAAATCTTAAAAAAAAAAAAAAAATGTAATAAAAAATTAAATATAATAAAAAAAAAATATATATATATATATATATTTTTTTTTTCATACTGTCACCAGTCAGTGTCCCTGTTAACCGCCATGCCAGTTATATGATGACGCTGTACTGCACTGGTGACAGTATGTAAAAAAAAAATTGTGAAAATAATTTTTTTAATTTTTTCATTTTCCGAAAAATTATGACAAAAAAATACAACTTCAAAAAACTCGCCATGCCTCTTATGAAGTACGTTGGACTGTCTACTCTGCAAAAAGGGGTCATTTGTGGGATATCTGTACTGTTCTGACATTCTTGGACGTCAAGAAATTAGATTGGCTGTCAGTACTTCAGGATTGATCAATATTCAGATCTATACCATAGTTTGTGAGCTCTATAACCTTCCTACAAACTAAAAAATACATCCTAATTTGGGTTATTTTCACCAAAGACATGTAGCAGAATACATCTCGGCCTAAATTTATGAAGAACAATTATTTATTTGTAAACTTTTAGAACAGAAACAAAGAAAAATGTGTTTTTTTTTTCAAAATGTTTGGTCTTTTTTTGTTAATTTAGCAAAAAATAAAAATCCCAGTGGTGATTAAAAAGAAAGCTCTAGTTGTGTGAAGAAAATGATAAAATTTTAGTTCGGGTACAATGTTGTATGACCGCGCAATTGTCATTCAAAGTGTGAGAGCGCTGAAACCTAAAAAATGGCCTGGGCAGGAAGGTGTAAAATTGCACGGTATTGAAACGGTTAATAGCAAAAAGTCAAAAATATTGTTTTTTCCTCAAAATTGTCTGTCTTTTTTTTATATAGCGTAAAAAAATAAAAACCGCACAGGCGATCCAATACCACCAAAAGAAATCTCTATTTGTGAGAAAAGGATGTAAATTTAATTTGGGTGCAACGTTGTATGACTGAGCAATTGTCAGCTACAGTAATGTAGCACCACATCACAAAAAATGGCCTGGTCAGGAAGGGAGGGTAAATCCTCTGGAGGGCAAGTGGCTAAAGCGTATCTCTTGCCAAACGTATTTTGTTTTGGATAGAGTAGGGAATAATTAAAACCCCTATCAATTTTTGTTTTGCTGTCTTTATCCCTCTGGATCGCTTTCCCTTCACTTGCTGTTACAAAGCTACAAAAGAAAGTGGGGGGGGGGGGGGGGGGGACTGTCCAAAGTGAAGAGAAATCCCCCCTAATGCAGTTATCACCAGAACAAGTATCCCTTCCTTATAATTCTCACTCATGAGTAGGGCCATCAATGGTTTCAAGCAGCAAGAATAAGCAGATTTTATCAGGTTGGAATCACAGGTATGTGTGAACCACTGCGGCAGCGCGCCTGTACAAAGCAATGACAGGAGTTACAGCTGTCTGCTGATGTTTTCATGTGTTCACACATCCAGTGGTTCCTACGGATAGATAACCAACCCTGGATGCTGAGAGGTTGTGTCCAAGACTGATCATCTTTGCTAGCACAACATGCCTGATGGAAGGGTACAACATAGTCCTGAAACATTGCGATTATTGGCTGTGATGTGATGTAATCTCTATGGATAAAAGTGCTTGGATTTTATTTGAAGATCCATAGTGTGCTGGCAAATATGTATGTCTATCTGTGATCTTACCAGGGGCGGACTGACAACTTATGGGGCCCCCGGGCATAAGGGGATCATGGGGCCCCTGTGTCCTTGCCCAAACTCAAAAAAGCCTATGAAAAAGGTACCAGGGGCATCTCATGGGGCCCCCTACTGACCCCCGGCCCTCGGGCGATGCCCGAGTTCCCAAATGGTCAGTCCGCCCCTGGATCTTACCAGATTCCAGCTGGTTGTTGCTGTAGCTCTCACCCTATTCCAGGAATGCAAGCAATTGGAATATCAATAGTCATCAAGATTGATCGTCTGTCCCTAAGGTCAGGTAACTGTGTGAAGAGCGACACTTTCTGCTTCTCATTGCTTTGTACAGGCTGAGCTGCAGCAGCTGTTCTCACACACCTCTGATTCCAGGAATCTGCAGATCCTTCCCGCAGGAATCCGCGAATAGCTCTATTCAAGTATGAATGAGGCCTAATGAAAGATTTCCTCTCAACTTCTTTTGCAGGGTGATTATTAAAATATTGAATTTCCCCTCACCGCAGTGGGAATACTGACAGTAATTAAAACCTGACAGGGTTTCTACCACCTCCACACTCTGTCTAAAACTATAAAAAAAATATTAAAAAAAAAACACTTAAAAGATAAGTTCACTTTAAAAAAAAAAAAAATGCACATTTTTTGCAGATAAAAAAAAGCAGCATTTCTTTGAGCCTGTGAAGAATTGGACCAGTGATCAGCAGACCACTGGTGCCATGCAGGTCTCCAGCAGACTGTCAGTTTGATCTGTGTGCTCATACTTCATACAAGGAAACAGTTTAATACTGACAGGAAGACTGAATGAACAACCACAGTGCTCCACAGGAGGTCCGTATTTGTAGTGCATTCATTCACATAACTGTGAATTAATGACGCGGCCATGCTGGCGGAGCCCCACACGGCTACACTGATTTCTCCCCTGAACTTCTCCCCAAACAGCTGTCACAGGGAAGAGGAGGGATCAGTCAGAGGCTGCAGCAGTGGGAACATGTTACATGTTCCATCCTAAAAACAGGTGG